CGCCGTGGCGGCCCCTCGTTGACACCCAACACCACTCAGCATGGAAAACATTTGTAATAATGAACGTAGTCACCTCATTGAACACATTTTACCAACAAATTGCAAAATTTTAATTGGGCACATTTAGCAATACATTTAATATTACGCCTACCAATTTGCTTTTTTAAGGTTCTAAAAAAAGGACTTGGTCGCGACAGTCGCCCTAATCATGGGGACTCCGTCGTCATCAGCTACGAAGGTCGGCTCGAGGATGGTACGGTGGTAGATAAAGAAAGTCACTTGAGCACTGTTCTTGGCGAGGGAGACTGTATTCATGGTAAGTTGGTCAGCAAGAACCTTGTCTACGCGGTCAGCTTTGCGCCTTGCACTTCCTTTAGCCGAATTGAAGGAGGAGTTCGAACTGAAGACAGACTCTCGTTTTGCATATGGTGATTTAGGCCGGTGAGTCTTTGTTAAATTTTGTGTAACTAAGTTGCGTCCCTACCTACAATATTTTGCCTTATTCTATTTCCTAGTTAGTAGGCGATGTATTTCTCCATGCCAGGTTTTATGCAGTTTTAGATCGTTAGCGTAGACCAGTAGTAGTGAAGAACCGAATCTTCCTGGTTTCGCACTTACTCTGGCCGGGGCGTTTCGCGTTAGACTGCGACATGAAAAAAATCAACCTCTAAATTTGGACACGGATTTCACTAAATTTATCATGACAACTTATGCAAAAGTTTGGGCTTACTTTTTTAAAGCAAATAAATATGAAACGTGCATTTTCGAAAGATTTTTCTAGATTTACGATTTGTGGCGAAGTTCCCAGAATTACCTAACTATTTCCATAGGCCTGCAAATAAAAACATTCATTGGATGAGGTCATAATAGTTGTTAGCATGAACTGTGCTGCAATAGTATTTTCTACGAACTCTCATGCTGGAATTTGTTTGAGTATTTTTTAAATCATCTGGTTTATGCTCGTTGCATCCACTGATTTGCGATGCGTAGAGGAATTTCAGTTATATTCCTGGGTACGGGACACAGTACGTGCATGTGCTTCGCACACTTTCTAGGAGGTCCTCTTCAAATTTATACATTTTACTCTACCGGTTTTTCGATGACTTTTACTTAAAAGTTTTGAGAATCATGATTGGCCGTATCGTCCTATAGCTTTGGGCTTCTTAAAGCTCCTTACAACCTATCCGGCTAACCCACAAATATGGCAATATGTCATGGACACCAGGAAGCCTTTTCACAGCAACAAAGAAATGCCATACGGAAAATGCATGGACCCCAGTGTATCTTGATTGCTATTAGTTAGAAGATACATTACTGATTTTGTCGGCACTTTGCCCCAAAGTTTTTTCTTCTGCATTAAAATGGCGACTTGGAAGAGCATTGCCTTTTAGCCTTTGAGGACACTAGCCCCTCTTTTTAATGATTTTTTTATCAGCAGGCTGCACTAAGGCAGTTGTTAATGCCTCATCCAGCTGACCTCGGTGATTTTGCAACGACACAGCTTTCCCTCACAATTTGAATTCATGACGTTCCTGTAGACTATTTCCAACCCGTAGCTGGTTAACTTACTTGTGTACTTACTTGTTGCGGCTGTGATCATGCCTGATCTAGCCGGCCTCAATGATGTCACGAACGGT